GATTGAGTTTTAACGTCGGATTGTCAAAAAGCGTTGCGGGTATCATATTCTTCTCTATCAAAAATCTCGTCAGGTCCAAAGTTGCCAAATTTCCCTGTTGTGTTATGATTTTGTCCGAGAGCCAGTGAGTCACAATGTTTCTCCAAGCCATGCTCGCTTCGAATGATCAAAAATCAGAAAAGGTCAGAGCTTCTATAGATTTTTAGATTGTTACACTTTGCTTATATATCAATCTGCTTCTTGTCGACAAACTTTCCCATTACATCTTATTCTGTAGAAATGTATCGGTGCCCAACGCATGCGTACCATATCATTTCGATGAATTCCTGATTGGTAATTGTTTTATAATCCTCATAAAACTGGAATCCGTTTCTCTCTAGTTCTTATTCTTGTTTTATTATCAAAACTAGAGCTACACATTTCACACGTAGCAAATGTCCTATTTACATGGGACGACTATTCTATATATGGATTTTAGAAATATCATATATTAGGGGAGGATTGATGGGGTAGATTTTCATTGAACTCGACAATATTTTAACCCGCTAAGTAATGCTGCTCGATCTTTTTCTGTCGTTCAAGGCTGGTGAACGATACTTTCGTGGACACATATAAAAAATGCATTGCTAAGAATTCGAACTGGTGAAAACATATTCATTTTACATATGCAAAGCTGGTATATAATAAGTTGCGGTAGTAATCATGTGTTTATAAAATGCTCCGCGGTCCGCCTTTTATCTACACCCCTTTCATATCGCTCAAACCACAGGAGGCCCAGGCTCGATTTGCCCGCGCCCGCCTGTGCCTTCCTTATAACGTGGGAAGGAAGGAGACATTGAGACCAAAATAGCCCAGACTTGGCATATGTCACACGAAACTATCCTCGATTTTTCGCTTTTAATGCATTTCTTTCACGATTAATCGATATCCCCTGCAAGAATGATACCGTATAACTCTTAGCCTGCGTGCAGGCCCAAGGGAACTTGATAGTGGGCCTGCAACAATCGTTCGGTATTTTGAAATACGCCCCTTTTCATAACACGCCCCATTCGCGCGTCAATTGTCAAAAAAGAACCAATGACAGCACCCAAATATTAACAAACAAACTCGCATTAAAATGTTGCGGGGTTTTCTCTGCTTATTCAGAACACTAATAAACAATGTGTAAATGGCTGCGTTTTAACTCAAAAAAAGCAAGCAACGCAGTCAGTAATTGCCAAATTTGCAAGTGCTCATTTTCAACTAAAATCGGAACAGGCAAATTAGGACGAATTTCAACAGAAAACCAGTCTCAAACTTCAAATCCTGAGGGAAGTCGTGCGACCACATTAGGATTTATATTATGTGTGCTTCGCTGTCGCCATTGGCATTGTTATAAATAAATTGTCTCACTTATCAGATCGTGTGTGCAATTCTTGTTGGCGGCGGAAAGTACGAAATTTATTTCATTTGGTAAAGAACTCCACAAAAGAAGAGAGCGTTCCGAGTCCAGATCGTTTCGTTTCAAACGGCAATTTAATACCGCCTTCTGTTTCGCTCTCTCTGCGAAGCCTTGTAAATCGCAAAGTATTTCGAATAGGCTTACAGTTCTTACATGCAACTGCATCTCAACATCAACCAAAAGATAATTTTCTTGAGGAAGTGAGAACACATAACGTATCAACTGAAGTCTGTTTGAAATTAATGAAACTCAAGTAAAAGTTACTATAGTTTACCCCAGTCGTAATGTTGCTATTCCAACACCTCACGACAAGCAATCCCCATTGGCATAACGGCAAAAACATGTCTTCCTTCAAGTAAACAATAAACAGTCTGTTCTTGTTCCATTTGTAATCGAAACAAGACGCTCTATTGAGCGTTAACTCGCTGGGGCTGTACAAATATACGCACATTACTTTATATGATGCCAGATACAGTACACAGATATTTCTATAGACCTTTCCTCTTCTAAGTGAAATTTTTATCCAGACTAGCGTGGACAGAAATTTCATCACAGCTTGACAGGGCCGCCGAGAGGGGGGGGGGGGCAAATTGCCCTGGGCCACGATGTTCTGGGGGTCCCTAGAAATTTTTTGGTGGGCACCAGTCATTTTTTTGCGCGAAATATTTCCGTTTTTGGGTCACAATATCTGTTTTTTTCGGGCGAAGAACCGAAATTTGGTATGAAAAATTTGCAGTAATTTCCCACAAAAGCATTTACAACGTACTCGTCCGGAAATTTTTTTGAATACGGTCCCCTAAGAAAAATTTGCCCCGGGGCCCCGCCAAGCTCTCGGCGTCCCTGCAGCAAAGAATAATGCACACAGAAGGTCGACTCGAGTAACCGCTGCCACGCCATGATTCATCATCAAAATGCTGACGCCATGATCCTAGCCAGTGCGGGTTTGAGAGGCATTCCCCCCTGGACGTCCGCCATTTTGAATATTATCAGGGGGGTGAATGGCGTCTGCATTTGATGACGTCAGCATTTGGTGACGAATTACGGTTACGCCAAGATCATAGGAAAAACAAAGAAGTCGCCCTTCTGTGTACGTTATTCTGCGCCTGCAGCTTGAAAAAGCATGTCAAAATTAGTCATATTTAAAATGCGGATAATATAACAATGCGAAGTTTGCCGTTTTTCAGTCATTTTGTATTACAAATGGGAAATTGACCATCAGTTTCATTATCTGATTATCAATTTTCCGTTTGTACTGCAAAATGACTGAAAACGGCAAGCTTGCCAGGCTATATTTTCCGCATTTTACAACTTTTTGCAACGAAACGTCGGAATATTACTAATTCTGCAATGCTCTTCCAAGCTGTGATGAAATTTTTGTCCAGGCTAATCTATGTAGATCAAAATTTCACTGAAAAGGGGAAAGGTCTATCAAGATCTAAGCCTGACCCCGAGATAAGCGGAAAAGTCGAATACGAGTGCGAAAGCTTAACACACTAAAATGCGGTACCCTACAAGCTATTCTCAGTATTCTGTGCTACAAGTACAAATAAAACTTCCGGCGTTTATGGCCCACAAGTATTAAAGGTTGTATTTTGTAGAACGCTACATTCTTCTGTTGGCCACTAGTTTAAACGTCCAAACTAAAATATTTTTGGGCTTTTGGGCTCGAAATATTATCAAAATGAAGAGAGAAGTTAGACGAATCCACTGGCATACGGCCGAACAAGAGAAAACCAACGATACCAAAGTTATCAAGGATCAAACATATTGCATTTTATATAATATTTTATAATTTGAGCAGTTTGTCAACAAATAATACAATTTCGCTTGGCTTTCAAAGACAAACGCCATAAATCGCTAGAATACTGTAAATAGTGTTGTCAGTTGTTTAGTAATACAGTTGAAACCCGTAGGTACAATTTCTCATTCACATATAAGTACAATTTCTTACGTCGAGTACAATTTCTTATATTTTTATCCGCCATTACTTATTACTAGTATTACAAATACAAGGTCAAACGGCGAGTATTAAATTTGTCAACAATAAAAATGTCGCTTGATTTTCAAAGTCCATAAATCGTTAGAATACTGTTGTTTAGTGATACATTTGGCATCCGTAAGTGCAATTTCTTATGCTGAATCGAACGGTGGTATTTTTATCCTTATTGGCTATTGCGCCATTACTGTAATAGGCATTTATACAAATACAATATCATATTTCACACTGAGTACACTGCAATTTTCACGGACTGTTCGATAAAATTCATATCGATATGACACGAATATGCTTCTCATAAAGTAGCCTATTGATTAAAACTACGTTGTGCAGTTTAAGTTATAACCTTTTACCTTGAAATTGTCTTTGGCTCGTTTATATTCAGATTCAGTATTAAATTATGATCGTGCACGGGAATTCCACGATCCAAATTTCGGATTTTCAGAGCCGTGCACCAAGTAAAACGCATTAAATAAACTAGCAGGAATGTCCACAGTTACACACAATCCAAAATCGATAGAAAACAGGTACAATTGGTTCAAAATTTTCACGAAATTGTTGAAAACATTTTGCCCACTCCACGAAAGTCCGCGCCATTTTGAAGGATCAAGCAGCTCATTAATATTCTATTTTGTGGCTATCGGAAATTGGAGATTGAAGCCGAAACCACAGTATAGGGATTGAGCAGTAAGTTCACTCGGGGGTGCAAAGTGTCCAACGGAAACATCTGACTTCCGGTTTGGCCGCCATGTTCTTAGTAAGGAAAGAGGAGTGAATACTGTTTAGAATTGTAGTACAGCAGCATGGTTTTTACACTCAAAAGGCAATATTTTTCGGTTTTCTTGCGCCGATCGGCTTCAGATACATAAAAAAATAAATAGAGGAGGATACTGCTTAGTTTTAGACGCGTTTGGAGTAAAATAAACAAGCCACAGTATAGGGATTGAGCAGTAAGTTCACTCGGGGGTGCAAAGTGTCCAACGGAAACATCTGACTTCCGGTTTGGCCGCCATGTTCTTAGTAAGGAAAGAGGAGTGAATACTGTTTAGAATTGTAGTACAGCAGCATGGTTTTTACACTCAAAAGGCAATATTTTTCGGTTTTCTTGCGCCGATCGGCTTCAGATACATAAAAAAATAAATAGAGGAGGATACTGCTTAGTTTTAGACGCGTTTGGAGTAAAATAAACAAGCAAAAAGGCAGAAAATCGCGACGAACGTCAGGTGTTAGGAGTGGGCTCACTGGGCAGTTCCGGGCTGAATGTTTTAACTTTCATGGTTGAAAGTTAAATTGGCGTTATTTCAAGGTTTTGTGGATGAATTTTTCTTCCTATGCGTAGTATTTGTAAAAGAAAGGTAAGTTATCACATTTTAATTGTTAAATAGTAATTCAACGCAAATAGAAAAGCTATTTCAATGACAAACTGTGCTCTTGTAGTCGTGTTTTATATATAACTATATAAGGTTGCTTAGCAGGCGAGCAGTATGTGGTATATTTTGGTCTATAGCTTGTTTTTCTGTGTTCATCTTTATGATATTTTTAGTGTAATTAAATATGGTCCTCTCAGTTCTGTTCCAAACAAAGTTGATCGGTTTTTTTCCTCTCTTCTGAGAGGCTACCTGAATAAATTATGACAGTAGCTATAATATACCACTGTTTAGGCCCTTCTAAAATTCTAAATTGTCAATATAAATATCAAACTTAATAAAAATATTAACGATTATAATGACTGAAGTCATGTCGATTAAAGATGCGACACCTTCAAATATTTTCTGTCCTTTTTGTTCTTAGTTGTCCGAAGATCACGGTTGGCAAATTTCAATGAGTAATATATTCTCATTCTCAAGAACAGCTTCTGGAGATATTCCAGTGGGAATTCTTCACAGTACTGGAATGGCACAGGTTCTCTCTTCAGTAACTTGAGGATATCACCTCCAACAGAAGAACTCTTTGTATAGATGGAGAAGTTTTTGAAAAAGATTGCTTCAAGTTGAATGATGTACTCCAGGAAACTAGCTGAAGGCACATGCAAACCTCCAAATTGTGATTTGTCTTGGTCATATGCCTTGAAATAACAAAGTAATGTCTTATTGTCATCCAGATCATTTGACTCTTGTGCTTCTTTGCAGGTTGAGCAGCTGTGTTTTTGTGAACACTTGTGGAGCAGATAGCCAGCAACATATGTGATAGTATTCTCCTTGACCATGTTGGAAACAACACTTGGATCTTTGTAGTCAGTGGGTCCAATCGCCAAGGTTTGAGGTTGAGGTGTTGTAGCCAGCACTGATTTTGACTTCTTGGTGGTTTCTGTACACTGAGCGATGAGGTCATCAAAATCTGCGGCACAATTTCCAGCCGAGGATGTGAGGAATGAACTAAAAAATAGTTTCCTAAATGCACTTACAAATTGTACTGGTGTTGGGCTATCATTGTTCCCCCCCTGTTGCCTTATAGTGCCGAAGAAATTTTCTAGTGGGTCAGTGTTAAGCCTTCGTGTAAGAATATACTTAAAATCATGGTTTGTTTTTAGGTGATCCCAAATGGCTAGAATAGCACTGAGTGTAACTGCCCACCCTTTAAGGCACTTAATTCGACCCGTTACCTCCTTATTTCCATCAAAAACCTTTAACCCCTTGATAAAATTGATTGCTTCTTTCATGAACTCTTTGTTTGGGCTTTTATCATTAAGTGGGCACTTGAGCTTTTTTGTTGAATGTAATGTAGAGCAGTTTACACAATCAAACACTGAATCAAACTTCAAAAGAAACTCGGCTGTTCCCATGGCAGTTGATGGGAGTCCCCCTAGACTAACATACATGCAAATTGAAGCTGCTACAGTGTGACTTAGTATTTGTGTTGCAAGCTTAACTCTCATTTTGTTAAAATTAGTTGGGTGTATGTGCTTTTCTGTTAACTTCGGTGCAGATCTGATTGGAAGTGCTGAATCTTTCATGTAGAAGTCTTCGATATCCTTCCAGGTAGCAACATATTGGCCAAATCTAAAGCAGTATTTCATTAGGTTGTTTCGCACACACTTTATCAAGTGTGGAGGGTCAAACATCAGGAAATACTTCTTATTGTTGTGCATAAACCAGGGTTGTTCAGGAGTAACATTCAGGCGAAGAGCCAAACTGTGGAAATTGGATCCCATGTCTGACATAACCACCACAACATTCAAACCGATGCTTTCTACTTTGTCGATTGCTCCCTTTATTAGGGTTTCCAAGACATCACTAGGACATCCACCATTGACCAAGTAATAGCCAATTGGTTGCTTCCACTTCCCACAAATACTCCGAAGTAGTAATACAAGTGCTGAGGTCGCCACTTTGTTGGTTCTGTAAAGACTGAAGTCCTCCAAACCAATGATCTTGTCACTCTTTATGCTGTAAAACAGGTGGGTTTTCAGTGATACTTCGTCCATACATAGTGTACACAGTCTATCTTTGGGACTCATTTGCTTAACTTTCTTCTCTATTATTTTCAACGCTGCTTGAGATATACCAGTGCTTGATGGCAACTTGGATATATATCGATGAATAGAAGATTTGTCTGGCAAGATGAATAACTTTGAGAGCAACCGGTACGCTTTTCCACTGGCATGGTACAAAGAGATTGCTATTGACTTCATTTCTGAGGAATATCTTCTCCCGTGTTTCTTCCTTGAATGGAGTTTCATCTGCATTCTTATAAAGTTAGCTAAGTGTTTAGGTAACTTTTGCAAAGCATCTTCAAGGGCTTTCATTTCTCTGGCCTTTTTCCCATATGAAAGTTTGCTGATAGTTTTCTTCAACCTCTTGATTTTTTTGTTTTGAGAATTAATAACCTTTTGCTTTCTTTTTTTCCTAGGCGTGTTGTTGGAAAGGTATTGTGGTGTTTGGATGCTAGCTGTCAACTTGCTTCCAACTTGATATTCTTGAGACTCTGATAATAAAAAATAGTGGATAACCTTATTAAATGTATTATGTATCACAGCCCTACCATATATCAAGGCACTAGCAGAGGGTGGCCCCCAATTAGTTCAGAAATATGCAGTGTAGACTAAATCCTTGATTTTGCAGGAAGCAGTGTACTTGTGTCCTTTCACTCATCACAAAAAATGCTGCACTTACCTTCTGGATCAAATGAACTGTGTACATCATTAGTGTCATTTGCAACATGTGAACTTTTATCAGTGTTGATATCTTGCCCTAAAATGAATGTATGGAATAAAAAAACGATTGTATGTGTATCAAACTATAAATACTATCAGTGTCAAAACTATCCGGGAATGTGACAACCCCCCTCCCCCCAGTCTCTATTAGACTGATATCGTCGGGTTACAGTTTCGTCGGGCAAATTTTGTAAATTTTGGGTGTCTCCGATTTTTGATAAATTTACGAAAATATTACTGAAAAATTTTAATTTAACAATTTTGGGAAAAGAAATATTAACGACTGACATGTTGTCGGCAAATGCGATACTACACCACTTGCTTTAGCCTTTTGCACGACTTCGGCCACGCCCTTTTCGTCGGGCAAAACAAGCTCACGTGTGTCCTCCAGCCGTAATACCGACGTTTCGCCCCTGAATACTATACTGTACTACGCTATACAATAGAGTACTGGAACATCGAATAAGATGTTACAATTTTTAAGTATAATTTTTTACCAACCTTCCACACTTGTACATGTTGCTGAACCACTGTCGTCTAATTTGATTTTCTTTCCTGAAAGAACGCGAATTTACTAACTAAAAATCTATTTTTAATGTTTGTAAAACATTAATTTTATTAACTTAAAAAGGTAAATAAATGAGAAAATGTATTTACCATGGCGAGTACGTGGATCGTCAGTCCTCTGCAGTTTTCGTCGTTTCGGACCAATCTTTGCAGGCGGATTTGGGATATCGAATAGAGTAGGTTTGGCGTCTGGTTTCAAGCGATTTTTTTGGAAATTGAGAAACATGACATCTTCAAAATGATTAGCACACAGTCTACAATTGTTGTAGAGATATTTTGTAGTTTTGTTCAGAAGGTCCTGGCGTCTACATGATACCACCCATTGTTTTGATCTAGATGGTTGCAAATTGATAATTTTTTAAACAATTATTCGCCCAACGCGAGTAAATATCGGTTTCTCAGCAATAGATTTAGAACAATTACAAATATGACGAAGTAAAATGTACCTTTCTGGATCAGATGGAAATCGGAAGAAGCTGATTTCTGGGTTTGAACTATCACTATTCGAGCAGTTAACTGCTGAACACCACGCGTTTGCTTTTCTTTTGGTGTTAGTTTTCTTTTCGGATGAAACTAAGTCCTCTACATCTGCCATTATCGAGCAGAATAAAAAAAGCACTTGCCAAACTAAGTTACATTTTAAACCAAAGACTACAGACATTTGCATTGCTTGATTTAAAGAAATCCCACATGGAAGCGAAATAAAAGGGCGTTGACCACTTGCAGGTTTTTTGGTGGGAGTACTACTCCTACAGTACTACCTGTGTTGTGTTCACAATGAAATAAGGTAAGCATTGTAATTTGTAGCCAAAGATACTCTAATGTTAAATTATGCAAAAGAAACAATGAAATGAATGAATTTTATATAATAAAGCTATAAAGAAATATATTGATATTGTATGTTGCAGTCAATGTGACATTTGCTAAAGTTGAGAAGAACAAATTGTTGTAAGTCTTGTCAGAAATGTAACAAAGTCAAGCAATAAAGTAAACTAGTCAAGGGGAAACTCTTGCACTTTAATTTATTTTACTGTGATCTGGGTATGTTGACAAGTTAATCCTAAATGTCATTAAGTTAATGATCCAACAATTTAAGGAGATTGGATGATTGAGCACTAAATATAACAAGAACAGAACACAACACAACAAGTTGATAATTTACTCAATATGTCACTGGCATTAATAAAACCAAGTGCTGAACCACTAGCTACCCTTGCAGATTTGTATGACCAAAGGCAAGTGATGGAACACATAATTATCACCTGATATCAACACGTAAGTGCAAGCATAGGTGCATTCTGTGTGAAATTCATGCAGAAGATCAGCAGTTGTACCTCTACTTTTATTATACATCGTATTCTGAATCTTGAAAACTCATGCCAGAGATCTTTGCACTTTTGTGCACAGAATGCACCCTGGGTGGCAATACATAACCCTTTAAGTGGCAATGTGCGTTACTTTATTTTTTTACTCTGTCTAATGCCAGACGATTTTACTTGTTATGATGAGAGTGCTGCAACTCGATGGGTTAAGAGTAAAATTGTCTGACATTTGGGGACATTGCCAGTCAATGAGTCAACACTAAGAGCAAGGATTTATAAACCTCTCCCTAGATGTGCACAGTAGCTTCATGCTAGTTTTAATATTATGCAATGCAAATGTATCTTGAATGTCATTATTCTACAGTGTGTATAAAAAAAACAGAACCCTTTCAAATTAGCTATGAACGAAATACTGCATTATTTCTTTTAAATTTTCTAATTTTTATTTCTTTGGGTTTTGTCCAATGAGTACAAGACCTTGTGTTCTTACCCAACCATTAATTCAAAGAAATTGGAGCTTGTCAAATTACTACAATAAGTTATAGCTAATTTGAATGGGTTCAGTTTTTTATACACACTGTAGCTTCCAAGCAATAGTTTAATACACAGCTGTCTCTCAGTAATGTTCCCATCAGTGTATTATCTAGACAGCAGTATAAAGAACAATCTGTTCCTGCAGGAATACTTCGAATGTTTGCGACAACAACTTCGACTTTCTTCTTATAGACATTTTCAACATGATTGAAACCTTTGTCTCACTTGTTAAGACCAATGGTAATAATAAACGAGCTTTGCCCAATATCCCGCACTCTTGACAGCTGACATTCGTCGCGATTTTCTGCCTTTTTGCTCGTTAATATTAATCCAAACGCGTCTAAAACTAAGCAGTATCCTCCTCTATTGGTTATTTTATCCATCTGAAGCCGATCGGCGCGAGAAAACCGAAAAATATTGCCATTTAATTGTAAAAACCATGTTGCTGTAGTACAATTCTAAACAATATTCACTCCTCTTTCCTTACTAAGAACATGGCGGCCAAACATGCGCGGCACGACATGCGCAAGGACAAAAACTTCAAAGGTTCCGACCACTGAGCTATAATATTACTGGAGGAGGTGCTCCTATCTCTCGTCAGTCAAAAAAGTGTCCGCAAAAACATGGCGGATTTTCACGTTTGCTGACGCCATATGGTTCCTCCGGCTCATGGCATTTACCACTGACCAACCGCGAT